AGATCACACCGAATGACATTTGTCGTTGGTTAAACATGTGTGCGTACGGAGCTGAAGATCCAACAGATAAGATGAAGCCGATACACGCTCGCTCATCGACGATAATGAACGCGAAAAAGTCGCTTTCTGCGTTCATGCCTCGAAAGTCCGTCCCGTGGGATCCAATTCGCCAAGAAGGGAATCCGACACGATCCGATTCTGTGAACATGCTCATCAAGCAAATCAAGAAGGCAGAAGTCCGAAAAGAAGGAGTTGCGTCATCTGCCCGACGCCCGCTCGAATATATGGAGTTCCTATCCCTTCTTTCTACTATTCGTGAAAGCAACGAGAAGACGGAGACGATGCGGATGGTGTGTAGTGTGTTCACTTTGCAATGGCATCTTATTACTCGGATCGACGACATGATGAAGCTGCGATTCGACAATTTGGCGCCTAACATCCAACACTCGGGTACTCTGCAGTGTCAAATGCGATGGTCCAAGAATATTTCGGAAGAACGCGATGCACCAGAACAGATTCTGCTTGGAAGCATGGATCCATCTATCTGTCCTCTTCTCAACTTTGCTGTGTATCTTGAGGTGAATGCACACGCACCTCAGTCTGCATTTTGCTTTGGAAACCCTGATGTGGGTGATCGTGTTGTCCGCCGTGTACTCAAGTCTGCATTCGCCAGTAAACGCTTTAAATCAGAAAGAACAGGATTGTTAGGAACACACAGTCTCCGAAAGGGTGCTACAACTTATGCTATGCGCTCAGGCGTCTCTAAGGACTACGTAGACCGTCGTGGACGTTGGCGTTACAGAAAATCTACTGTTGACATCTACATACATAACACGCAGCCATATCCAGACACCGTTGTCGCAAGTACTCTGGCTGGACCACTTGGGCCGTGCTTGTACGCACTGAAGGATGGCATGCGATGTGTATCGACCTCTCTACTTGTTGACTGCATTGCCCCTACCATAAAGCAAGTTCTCGGCGAGTCAGTGTCAAGGACACTGGCACTTCCTCTACTATGGGTATCTCTCTCACCAGAAAGTAGCATCGTGCAGAATGTCATTCAATCTTCATTGAAGACGTGAGTCATTGAAGCTTACCGTGGCGCTGGAGGTGATCCAGACGTGAATCTAGTTGAGCGCATCGGATTCCATGTTGCCGGGGATGGTGCGCAGTTGCAGTTGATTGAGATTCGTGAGGTTGATGATGCGACGATGAATTCAGCTGGCTCCGGTCATGGCAGTATTAGTGCTGATGGGCAAAGGAAGGAGTTCGCAGCGCTGCATGCTCATCTCTTTGGCCTGTATCGGAAGGTGGATGAAGTGATGCATGAGCTTCTTCGTCTCAGAAATGACTTTCAGCACATGGACCACCGCAATCAAGCCAATCTCCGTCGCATCGCTCTGCAGCCTGTGGTTCGAACCGTTGCTTCGATTCCCACGGCAACACCCAGCGCAAGTCGTGCACCAGACAGTCACCATACAGCTGCCAGACTGTGTAAGCGCCCGAGAGATTTGTTTGAGCTGTGGCACGAGTATGAATTCGGATGCGGTGGATCAAAGCCAGCCAAGGAGTTCACATCAAAGGAGCGTGGGGCCGAAAATCCAAGTTCTGTCGACGTAAAGCATTCTGGGATGTCGTTGGTAAACTTGTTCGTGCGGGCTACACCAGTGATGTAGCAATCGACAAAGTTTATGCTGCTTACGGTCGCAGGAACTCCGTTACGAAGATTCTTGCGTCAATGAGCAAGTCGACGCATCCTTCATTATGTGTGTGAGATCAGTAGTGTAATATCAATCTATTATCAATTTCATCCAATCAAATCTATGGTTGCACCTACAGTTGTATTTTTGACTTGTACTCTTATAATACTAATATATATAAATTTAGAATAAATAAATTCATAACATCTGTAAAAAAAATATTTTAATGTAGTTGTAGGAGAGCGACTAGGCGATACATGCTAGAAGTTAATAGTAAATCGTAAAATGCTTGATTCTGTGTGCCTGATCGCAACGCCTCAATGGTATCTGTTCCCTATAGATATCAACTGATCTTAAAAGTTTTCGCGTTTATCGAATCTATTTTTTTCTACCGTGTATTGTCCCCTTTCTGGAATCCACGTTGATCTAAAAATCAATAGCAGGGTTCGCAATGATCGAATGCGCATACATTGGTAGTATATAATTGGAGCAGCAGTCTTGCGAGTTAAATTGCGTAGAGGGTTATTCAGAGCAGTTGACCTACTTTCTCGCGAGAAACTTAGCCAAAGTGCTGTGAGGCGAATCATGTGATTTATTGTAACCTTAGGCCGGCAGTCCGTTAGGCAGTATTCATATAAAAAGCGGCAAGTGTGCGTATGCTTTTAAATAGCATTATTTAAAAATGTTTCGACCGTTACTGCCTTTTCTAAAAAACCAAGACAGGTTGTGACGCAGGCGACGTTGATCTTTAGTCTTCGCTTATTCGTCAAAAAGATGCATGTTGAAGACAATGAACAAAGACGTCTATCCCATTCTGCAATATCTCTCGAGACAGTAACAAGTGTTTTATTCAAACGTACAATGTCAGAGCTTAACGTCAATGCCGCCAACGTCCGCGTGTTGGGCCACGTATCTGACGCGTTCCGTCGCGTTCTTACATCTGATGCGCTGCGCTTTCTTGCTTTCCTGCATGAGCAGTTCGAGCCACGTCGCCAGTCTTTGCTAGCCGCGCGTGTGGAACGTCAGAAGAAGCTCGATGCTGGTCAGATGCCAGACTTTTTGCGAGATACTGCTTACATTCGCGAGAGTGATTGGAAGGTGGCATCTATTCCCATCGATTTGGCTGACCGCCGCGTCGAGATTACGGGCCCTGTGGATCGTAAAATGGTCATTAACGCGCTGAACTCGGGATCCAAGTGCTACATGGCTGACTTCGAAGATTCAACATCTCCTACATGGTTTAATCAAGTTGACGGCCAGGTTAACCTTATTGACGCGGTGCGCAAGACAATCTCATATACACATCCGCAGACTAGCAAGAAATACGTTCTTAATGACAAGGTAGCAACACTGCTTGTGCGTCCACGTGGTTGGCATTTGGACGAAGCCCATGTGCTTATCAACAACGAGATCATGTCTGGCTCGCTCTTCGACTTTGGTCTCTACTTTTTTCATAATGCACATGAGCTACTGATCCGTGGCTCTGGTCCGTATTTTTACCTTCCAAAACTGGAACATCACTTGGAAGCGAAGTTGTGGAACGACGTGTTTGCGGCCGCTCAGGGTTATCTAGGTATCCCTCAAGGCTCAATTCGTGCGACTGTGTTGGTTGAGACCATTTTGGCTGTTTTTCAAATGGACGAGATTTTGTACGAGCTACGCAACCACTCGTCGGGGTTAAATTGCGGCCGATGGGACTACATCTTCTCGTACATAAAGAAGCTACGCAACCATCCGAGGTTCGTAGTACCAGATCGCTCATGTGTTGGTATGACATCGCCCTTCATGGCTGCTTATGTAAAGCTGCTTGTTCGGACGTGCCACCGACGAGGTGCACATGCCATGGGTGGTATGGCCGCCCAGATTCCCGTTAAGAACGATCCAGAGCTCAACAGGAAGTTCATGGCCGCTGTCATAGAGGACAAGTCACGCGAGGTATCTGCAGGTCACGATGGCACGTGGGTGGCGCACCCAGGCCTTGTCAAGATTGCTATGGATGCATTTAGCAAAATGTCAGGCCCTAACCAGATCTCTTATATTCCCGAGGCTGGCAAGGACATTAATGCAGCCCAACTTCTTCAGCCTCCAACGGGTGCGATTACGTACAATGGCTTGGTCGAAAATATAGACGTGTCACTTGTGTATACAGAGGCTTGGTTGCGTGGTAGTGGATGCATTCCGCTCCATAATAAGATGGAGGATGCTGCTACAGCCGAGATTTCTCGTGCACAGGTGTGGCAATGGATCCGGCATGGCTGCAAGACAATTGACGGAAAGCTGGTAACGAAGGCGCTAGTACTGGACATTTTGAAGGAGTGCTTGCACAAGCGGTCACTGAATGCGTCTTCGGGCAACATGTGGGTGCTTGGTGGTGACATCATGAGCAAGGTTCTGACGGGTGACAATATGGTGGATTTCTTAACACTTCCATGCTACCCGCGTATTGTGCAATTTGGCTCAAATATCTGAAGCTAAATTCTAATCGCTATTTCGAACAAAAATGACTTGCGACTGAAGCACATTCAAGTATTTAGATATTTTGCTATTGGAGGTGCAATTAAGCTTTAGTTTTTTTTATTTTTGATGGAAAGAATGAATTCAGCACAGTGAATAATTATTTCAAAACGTATATCATATATTCGATAGAGCTTAGAAATTAGAAAAGCGGCTAAGATTTTCGAGTAGAAAAATCCTTACCTTATTCATCGATGATTTCAAGATGGTCAATAGAATTCGACATGACTACCACGTTATTGTCGGAGCTAATTCTCTTGTCTGTTGTTGATGATGCGCCAAGATCGGACTGTCTATTGCTTAATCGATAAAGGCGATATGTCACCAGCGATACCAATATGACAACCCCAAAGCATGCTCCGGCAACAGCAAACCATTTCCTAATTTCTGTCAACATGCTTTGCGGTTCGTTTTCGTTTATAGCAATCGCTTTGGATGTCGTGACTCTTTCGACTCGAGGCTCAGCATTGCCCGTATCAGCTAAGAGACCAGTACCGTCTTGATGTGAGAAAGGAAAAAGACCAGACAAGGCATACGCCACGGCTGAGCTGTTTACAACCGCGCAGTAGTCCAACATTTCAGACACACTTGTTGGAAACCTCATGCAGTATCGGCAACCTTCACTACCGACACATCCAGTAGCAAGCCCCTTAGGACAATTAATTGTATCGAGAACGACGCCAATCCCTCCTGCCGCTTGCCCATCAGCCAGTGACACGTTTGCACATGTGTAATCCATTTCAGTCTCGACTGCAGCTGTTTCTTGGAGTGTTACGATTGTATTCGTGGACATTTCGACTTGCATCGATTTGTCCTTGGAAATAATCCCTGCGGATTCCAACGTCTTCTTATCATTTACAATGGGAATTTGCACAAAGGTGATATCAGAGCCAATGTCCGAAGACGGGATAAAAGAGCAGTTTATGTACGTCTGCGACTGAACCGTGTCGAAACGTTTACAAAAACGGCAAACTTCGTCCAAGCATCCAGTACCACCTTCGCTACAGCGAACATCCGAGACAATGTCCAGTCCGACGTCTTTGTCTCCACCTGAAGCCGCGCGAGAGCATAAAAACACAATTATAGGGGTGGCGGCCGATTTAATTGTCGGCGTTGGTGTCAATGTCGGTGTCGTTAAAGCCGGCGTTAAAGGATGAGTTATACTTGTAATTATGGCACAATCCACATAAACCGCAGACTGAGTAGTAGCCTTGACTCTGCAAAAGCGGCATACGCTGTTTATGCAGCCCAGGCCGCCAGACACACAGGAAATGTCGGTCACGATATCCACACCAACAGCGAGATCGCCTGCTGCCGCGGTGATGTTACAGTCAGCAGTTGGCAACACAGGAGGCAAGATAGTGCTAGTTGATGTCGGCGCCCTAGTCAGAGCTGCGATTGTTGATGTTGGCGTACTCGTCGGAGTTAAAGTGGTTAGCGCTGGTGTTTGGGTAGGGCGTGCTGTGTCTGATGCTTTAGTAGGAGGTGCTGTGGTCGGTTCCTTAGTAAGAGCTGGAGTTCCCGTCACGGGTGGTTTAGTAGAAGCTGGAATTCTCGGTTCTGGTGCTTTTGTTGTTATCGGTGCTTTCGTCGGTGCCACCGGCGCTTTTGTCGGAGCTGGGGTGATTAATTCCGGTGCTTTTGTCGAGGGAGAAGTAGTCAATACAGCTGGTTGAATCGAAATTGTAGAGCCCGAAACTGGCGCTGTCATTGTGCGGACGATTGAGGCACAGTCGACGAATGGCTCAGATTGGATTGAAGTGGTGACTCGACAGAAACGGCAAGACTGGTCAATACAACCCAAGCCACCCCAAATGCAGCCAGTGTCCGTAACGACATTTATGCCGACGGCAGCATCACCTTCCGAGACTGTAAGGCTACACGATTGTATTGCTGTTGATGATGGTGTCAGTGCTGGCGAAAGAGAAGGTGCCAAAGATGCTAATGTAGTCACTGGTGTCTGTGCAGTAGTATTGCCAATTAATGCGCAGTCGACATATGCGGCCGATTGTGTTGAGATATTTTTTCGACAGAAACGGCACTTGCTATCAATGCACCCCACGCCTCCCTGTGCACAAGATGCATCAGTAGCAATACTAATTCCTACAGCGGCGTCACCGTCCGAAACCTTTGTTGAGCAGAGCACTGTAACAGAAGGACATGGAATTAAGTGGACAGACTCGGCCGTGTCCGTAGATTTACAGAAACGACAGATGTTATCAATGCATCCCACGCCACCACCAGAACAAGATGCATCGGATGTGATATCAATGCCGACCGCAATGTTGCCGTACGATGGCGTCAAAGTGCACATATAACCACCCGCCACAGCCGAATTTTCTTTTGTTAGTTTGTCTGCGTCGTAATCTCCAGCAAAATCGTTTAAAATATCCGAGCCGGTGTTTGTATTTTTGACCCAGGAGCACAACAAGAACAAAGAAGATTGAGGGCTAAATTCACTTTGACAAAACCGACAATGATCATTAAAACATCCAATGCCACCATACAGACAGGAAAGATCTGTCATTCCTCCAACTCCAACCGCAGCGTCGCCACTAGACACGAGACATGCACCTTTGGATGGTGTCAATGGTGCCATTATAGGAAATGATGCTCCAAAAGATCCGCAGCTTTCTAAATGTGTCGACTTGAACGTGTCAACAACTTTGCAGTATCGACAGTGGTCACTGTAACAACCCAGACCACCCCCAGCACACGCAACATCGAAGATCACCTGAATTCCGAACGCTTTGTCTCCTTCAGAAACCTCACAGCCCAACTCTCCAGAAGGTCCACTTCCTGAGTCAACGTCACTTGCTTGCAATTGGGCAGTCGGAATATTCAATATAAACATACTGACAAGAGCAATTTGTACAAAAGAGCAAAGTTTTTCGCTTGCTCGATGCTTCATAGTGATCGGAGAATACAACTTGATGCTTCGTCTCTCCGCCATGGGAATAACTCACCCAAGATATTCCAGAATGGGCTGAATCTAGGAAGATGTTTGGACGAGCATCAAGAACATGGGATCAGGTTTATTTGGCATCGGTTTCAAAGGTGCCTTAGAGGAGAAGTTACCATTGTGGTATCGTTCTCGTTGCACTGTTTTCACTACTAATATTGGACATTTAGTTTAGGAACGTTAGTTACCAAAATCCCCAAAATACCTGTATTTTCCGTACCGTTTAATCTTTATTTTTAGAAATACCTTTTTTTTCAATGCTTGTCAAAAAATATACAGCACATGAAAAAAAAATAATGCTAAAAAGCAAAGCTAGGAGCACATACTTGAAATGTGGCATTATTTTTTGCGATGAAAAAGCGAGTTTCTTCCGTAAAATATGTGCCAATGATTTGGATGCGCTAGAAAATCCGCTGTCACTCACTCGCTCAATGGAGAAACTATCGTGAGCTGATGTATCTGCTCTAATGCACAACTTATTGCAAAGAATGAAATGATGTGCATTGACAGAAACTTCAACCGAATATAAGACTCTTGATTTTAGGTCGGCAGCTGCACCAAGATATACGCAGCCATGACATCACCGAAATGTCCACTTTTCGCAGCACCTTCAATGCAATGCCGGATACGATCGCAAGGATAACACCCTTTGATGAGAAATCATGTGCGTAATTCTGTGATTCCTCTTCCCGCGTTGGATCCTCGCTTTTGATGTAGGTGATGATGGTCAAAGAAGTAAAACCCATTATTATGTTATGAAGAGCATTCTTACGCCATTTTGTTTGAACTCATACAGTTTATTTTTGACAGATTGAGAGGCGTATAGGTTTTACTGGAAGACACTCGTTTTAAATTGAAAACCGCGATGGGATTGATTTCAGTTTTGCTCGAGCAGCCTTTGGTAACGTTAGTGATGTGGAAATGTCGACAGGAAATTTTGGTGTTGGCCGTCACTAAAATATACTGTGTACCCCGGTCGGTGGCCTACTCTTCAACAATTGATAGACACTTCTCAAGGGGTATGTTCTGCGAGCATGGTGATCTGCTCTCTTTGACGCTGGATCCGCTCTTAAATTCAAGGACAAATGGAAAGCGTAGAATGGGGACAAGCTTGGCTCTCACGGTTGCACAAAGCCGTATTGGAAGGATCTGCTTTTCCATGACAGCCCCGAGATCGTCACTTTAATGTTTTTCAGATTGTCAAAGCCGGCAAACTTTGTTCGGAGAGACGAAGGGGTAGATTGCAGTGCATTGCCAAAGTGGTCTCCAAGACTTCTGCACCGTATATGTCGAGGATTAAAAGTCACTTCAAGGCTTGTTAATTTGATAGTAGGCTCTCTTGCAACTGATGGCTACGGCCAACAGTTAAGCCCTGAGTGACTGGTTTTTCGAGCATAAATCCAAACGTATGATCACTCAGTCAGCTGCCACCCGTTTCAGTCTACTGTCCAGGTATCTGCGACCGTACCTTCGTTGGTGCACAACGTACCTCGTCGTCGTAAGGTGTGCGGTATAAATGCTGTTATAAACGAATGGTTAAAAGACCTGCGTCCTCACTGATAGTCCGATAATGTACGCTAGTGCTCCACGTATGAACAGTCACTTTGTGCGCGTTTTGGGCCTCGTTACCTCTAAAAAGCTAAACACATGTAAACACTACAATGTCGATTGCGTCGTTCGTGGTACACTTTATTGAAATAAATTGAGGGGATATTCTAATATGAATCAAGCCATTCGTTTGGCAGCAAGAGAGTTGTATACGAAACTAACTCTTTCTGTAGTCAAATAGCTCCATGAGTAATGGGAATGGCCCGTCCGTAAATATACATTTACTGAGGAAGACTTAAATCGGTTAATACGCTTCACTGCGTGTTGCTGGAGGGTAAAATATATTATGGCCAATAGGCCTGAAGCCTTCGTAAAATTTTGTGGTTTACACTGTATGAGTATGGACTGACTGTTAGTCCACCCCCGAGTGGATTTTCCCATATTTATCCAAACTTTCTTCGGACATTTTTTCAATTTTCCCTTCAAATGTCTTCAGACTTCCTTTCAACTCTGAGACTCAGTCATTCGTGATCCGACTCGAAATAAAAAACGCGTCGAGGACGAGTTGCGCCGACGACGAGTGCAGAACAAAAACGCACCCCAATCTGAGGATGCGAAGGCGCCTCTGTCATCATTGAACTTGGACAATGCTCCCACGTCGAACGGCGGTCACGCGCTGACAGACATCGCATGTCTTCACGTTTCCACCCACTTGTATATGTGGGGCCACCAACATTGGGCACTGAGAGTTTAGTAGGTCTTCTCACGGCCAAACAGACCGGCAATCGGCGTATCATGCGCCTCGTACAAAATCTTGTGCTTCAAGTGGAGAACCACAACCCTTGGCTCGTCACCTTGTGCAACTTCATAGTGAGAGGACCATTCTTCAATGCATAACGATGCATACAATATTTCAAGTGCCCAAGAAGCTTGTCATGAAATTCTAAATCACTCGATGAGACTTCCTTGATGATCAGATCACACTGTTCAGCTGCAACATACGCTCGACGTATCATATCGAGTCCATCGTTTTCGATATAGCTGATATGGGCTAGATCACATTTCGGACGACGTGACAATGCGTCAGCCAGTGCGTTCAATTTTCCCGGTGTAAATACAACCCTGAAGTTGTATTTTGCAAAGAATACATTAGCGAGCAATCCGCTGTGTCAAATAAGGAGACTGAACTGCATATCGCAAGCTTGCGTGATCCATGTAGACAACAAACGGAGTTGAACCCAAGAGTTGAGCACGAAACTTCACCAGAGCATACTTCATTGTCGAAAGCTTCTTGTCGTGGACAGGTTAGTTTTTTTCGGCCAGCTTCAGCTGTCGCGATTGAAACGACAAAACACGATCGTGGGCTTTCGGGTCTTTTTGCAATCGTGCACGTCCGATTGCAAACTCAGAAAGTCACACACCACGCTATACGGCTTTGTATCATCTGGTAATGTTGCTTCAAGCTGTTCTTAATCTGAGTAAGCACTTCTTTACAAGTCGATGACCACTCCCATGGAACGTCTTTCTTCAGCAAGTTTGATAGTGAGATTACCATTTCGGCAAAGATACGCAAGAAGCGATGCAGATAATTAAACAAATTCCTCCGATTTCTCAAATTCTTTTATTCCGTGGCTTTTGTCACTCCACGATTGCTTCGAACTTCGGGAGTCTGCACGAACACCGTGCTCGCCAACTAAACAACCAAGAACTGGTACTTCGTCAGCACAGAAACTACACTTTGCAAGATTCGCTTGCAGTGAATGTTCACGCATAGATTCCAGCACCGCACGGAGTTGCTCCAATTGCACTTCTTTAACAGATCTGCCATTTGCGTCCTTGGATGAACAAAAGTAGCGTCAAAACAGGTTCGTGTGATGCTTAGCAGTGTACACGATACAGTATACAGCCGGACATTCGGTAGATGATATCTTGTCGCGGAATCGGCGCTTGAGCGGAAATCGTCTTCGCATTTCACTTGTTGTAAGCTTGAGCGATACGTAATTTACCATTTGGATTACACATACAAAACGTCGATACGCTGTGAAGGGACTTGCTCCTCTTGCTCCCTCTCACCAAACCAGCAGATCGCTGTTTAGCAAAGAACTCATCAATATACTCACTTTGCTCACGCGACAGTAGCAACGGTCGCTGCACTGCATGTTTCAAACCAGGTTCACGATCAACTTCGTGCCGAACTCCGCGTTTAAGTGGAAGATGAGAGTGCGGGTTCGCCTTATAGACGTCTCCTTATATTCTATAACAAGCGAATGATGGGGTCCTTCGATATTGCCAATCCTTTGCGAGACTCCACATGCTGTCAAAATAACCGAATCCTCCGTAAGTGATGATGAGCGTAATTCCGCTGAATTGGTCATCGACTGTATCTACACGACCCCCGCAGTGTTATCACACTTGACATCGTGTAGGAACCATCGCAAGTGACTTTCTCGAGCTGCACCGGCTCTTTCATCGTCGGCAACGGTGCTAAAAGAATATCTGTTCTGGTAACTTCACAACCAGTTGTTGCATCCATGACATATGGCAGAATATTCGCATACTATATTTCCTTCATGGGGAGTAATATACTAAACTAACTCACCCCACGGACTCAGGTTGAGCAGGAGTATCAATACCGCGATCAGCAAATTCCGTTGGTTCCTGAACATGTGTGAGCTCGACCACAAAACGGGTGGGAGCATCACCTTCGTGGTCAGTTATACCCACTGACCCACAATCCGACTCAACTACTGTATTAGTAGGAGTAGTGACATATACTGCCACAATCGATTCCTTCAACATCCATTACACACTTGTCGTCGACATTCTTCTCTCTTTGAGGGGGGGGTCAACAACCCCCATCTGTGCCTCATGATGGCTTTCTGCTGGGCAAATGGCTATGCCTACCAATGATTCATTCGTTTTCAAGTGGCCGGTTCCGGGCACCATGAGATCTATCGACACACTTTCTGAGTGATCACCCGTGGTCACTCCATATGACCCCGTATCTATCCTAACCTTGGGAATGTCAATTGCATCACATATACCAATGAACTGTGGATACATTCGACTGCCGAGTGCTTGAACCCCTCGACTGGTGCATGGTGAATGTGTGTTTATTACTTCCAGGGGTTTTACCTACGCAAAGAGGACTACTCCTAATCGTTTTCGATCGCCAATCAATCCAGGCTCATGCTTCTTAACCTTAAATCAGGTCAAACCGTTTGTTCATCTCGAGAACTGTAGACATTTTCTTCGAGTTGAGGTCTTAGAACTTCAGTTGAAGATCAGCCAATATCTTTTTCGGGGTGAATGGCCAACTTCACCACGATAAAAACCAATGCTTCCGTCTAGTGCCTATGAAAACACTCAATCATTTTCTTTTTAAAAACTCTTTGCTTCCGCACGTAGTTACGCAGCGCACCGGAGTCAATCAAGACTCTAAGCGGGCGACCGTAACCCTTCACACTCGCTGTGACCATTCCAACTGGTGTCGTTAACGAAGGACAGCGATCCTTCGAGGTCTAATGCCTCAAGAGTGATATTACCACCACACCCACAAGAGCTTATAATTGCCACAGTATACCGCCCTGCATCTACTGGGTATCAGCGTTTTCTGGACGCCTCGTGGTATCGGTACCACTTGTCTCGTCTCTTACGTGGATAACCACGGTGGATGTGACCGAATCGTTGACATCCATAACAGCGAATTTGCTGCCTATGAACAATCACCGCGCTTAGTCCATTGGTTCTGGATCTTCGGATGCAGCTGTCATTGCTTCCAGCGGGTTGACCGATTGACCACATGCTTGACGCTGACAGTAGTCCTCACGCAATGAAATTATAATAGCATCGTCCAGAGCGACGGAAGACTTCAGTCTGAGGAGGGCCATAAGTGAGTCTCTTCATACCATCGCTGCCTCTAGTAGTAGTTCGCTTGTCATACCGACACGAAGCTCGCGGAGCTTCTATACATAGTCGTACAATGTGATGATGTCTTGACGGCACGACAAAAACTTCACCGTTGTCGAATACCACATTCGGTGAGAGGAACATTGATTCCATGGCTTTCTTCAACTTTTGCGATGCGGCAATGTAGCTAGGGTGGTTGATTCCCATGTCATCGCCCAATCCTTCGCACGGCCATCCAAGTGTGACATGGCGAATGCCACTTGACCGCGGTCATCATGAACTTGGGCTATCGCGAAGGCGATGTCCATATCTCGCTGCCAAAATGCAAGATTTTCATTCTCGTTTAAGTGAAAGCCTTTCACCTTGATTTTTACGGGACGTTCCGGGTGTCCCGACAATGTTACCTACAGGTGACGGAGCCGGCGTCGGTAAGTTCCTGGTCGAACATCCCAATAATTCTATCTCATACGCTGTAAATTATGCCAAGCGTTAAGTTATCGCTTTTGGAACATGTCGAAGACCGTGTGATCGCCGATTAAAGCTCGTAGCTATACTAAACGCTCCCATTGCGAGTGTGCTAGGAAAGAATATGCCTCCTTGTTGATCTGAGGGCGACCACCGCTTGTGGTGTCCACATTATCCATTGATAAATACATAGCAGTAGTCGGCTTTGGAATGACTGCTACTGCTATAGAGTTAAATGGAAATGACCCGTCCGTACACACGCACTTAATGAAGAAGACATATATATGGTTAGCGCGCTCCACTTCGTGTTGCTCGGTTCCAGCGAGCCTTTTGTTCACACGAACGAGGAGAAAAAAATGTTGTGACATCTATTATGGCCAATAGGCATTAAACCAAATGACAAGTGCGTTTATTTCTGATAAAACAGAATGAAGGAATATGCAACTATGCAAGATATTTTGTAAATGTCAACCACACACAAGTATGTGGCTTACACAACATGGTTAATGGGGCTGACCCCGTTACATTATGCCAAGCAGACATACCCTGAGCTTGATGGGACCATACTTAGAGATGGAGCGGTTTATCATGAACAAGTAGTTTTTCTCTTTACTTGACGCTGACAAAAAATCGAACACAATGACGCGTTCACCACCGACTTCAAGGCGCAAACATTGCCACAAGTCAAATCGTCACAGACGACGTGAAATATTCGAACGGAATCTGGAAGGCCAAGATTTACAGCCATGGACATACTCATCTTACTTGGCCGATGGGTATTATCAATTGCTAATGAGAGCAGTCAGACTTTGACGATTTAGCGAAATATGTACGATGCATGGACAGTTCTATTACTTGGTAATTAGGCGTCGCTCGCATTCAAAGACCGTATGCAGTCTATACAAATCATGTGTCATTGTGCACGACGACATTTTCGCCTTACAGCTCGAATGGATTTCAATACCGTCATCTTTCTTCGCCTAGTATACATTTAGAGTAAAGTTATACTGGCCGGCTTAACGATCTGAGGGATGCATTCTCGTGTCGCCCAAATTACATATCGTCGCTTGCTAATTAGTGACGTCGCCAACGATGCTTTTCGTATGGCCTAACGGTCAGAAACCACATGCACTACGCAGGGGAAAGCTCTGGAATGCAAGGATTCACGAACCCAGACCTTCCTTTATTACGCATTGTAATGCGCTTTTACGCCGCTATTCTTTGTCTATAAGCTTGACGTGATAGAGTACGAATACGCTTGGCACACAACGTCTGGTGGTACCCATTGATGACCTTTCACACATTTTCACTCCCTACCAGTAACAGGGTACGTACCCTAAGACTGTAAAGTTTTGTACTTACATCTTACAGTTGCGACATAGTTGTATCACATGAATCCGAAACAATAGTGAGAAAGTCACATTGCACTTTTGTGTTATTGCGAATATTCAGGAGTACCGACGTATCAGTATTTATGAAGATGATGGAAGAGAGGGGTCATTGGCACATGTGAGCTGCTAGTTGCTCGTTTTACAACATTTTTATCATGAACGATGGCGAGAAGTTCGTAATTAGTTCCAGTCGATAGACTTTAAATTTAAAATCTCTGATCTTGACATAGCAGAGCAAGCTAGACAGATAAAAAAATCAGCTTGCTTATCTAAGCCTACTTCATTGGTGATGTGGTGGACCTCATGGTTAGCTGCAAAGCGGGAAGACTCAGCATCCTCCGCTTCTAGGTACGGCGTGTGTGAATAGGGAAGAGATAGTCGGAAACGGTAAACACAATCAAGCATTGGAGTGGTCTTTGCTGACGATAAGGGGCAAGGCGCGTAGATCCGAAAATCGGCGAATCATCGATGGCTTCTAATCTCCACCTTGGCACGGTAGCCTGATTGTCGTACATCAAACTTGGTCTGAACTCGCCGTCAGATTGCATTAATTCGTCGTCGGTCTCGAACATCGGGTCCGAATTATCGTAGCGTCAATTTTGATCAAATGCGCCAGTAGTCGGAGAGACATTGGTGTTGTCGCTTCCGGTTTGACCGACAATCATCGGTAATATGTCGATTCGGGCGAGTTGGTGCAGACTGGTCTTCATCTTCGTCAAATCGGAGTTGTTGTATAAATCGATTTGCTGGCAAGTCTGACGTAATCCGACTTATGAAATTCTTGAAAACTACTGAGCGAGTATTTTCTACTCTCTTGGATTCGAGGTTCCAAACTCGAAAACTCTTGACTTTATCCGAGAGACCAGGAAAAATGCTTCGAGACGCTTTCTTGTCCAACTTGGATCGTTTGGCCTTGTCAACATGTGCAAAACCTTGAGCCCCGAAAACACGCAAATTTGAAAGATCGGGCTTCCGTCCAAAACAAATTTCGTACGCAGTTTTTCTTGGATGTGCTGCGCACGGGATTCGGTTCGTAATATACACTGCCGTGTTCATTGCTTCAACCCAAAATTTCTTGTCAGCGTGCATGTGATTTAACATCGATCGTGTCGTTCCGTGATTGTTCGTTTCATCCGTTCCGCTAGCCCATTTTGTTGTGGCGAATACGGAACCGTGGCATGGTGGATGATTTCCGACTTGCGACAGATCCCATTGAATCGTTTGTTGATCTATTCGCTACCATTGTCGGTGCGAATACACTTGATCTTGGCATTGAGCTGATTTTCCATCATTGATTTATAATCGATGAATCGATCAACTACTACAGACTTGTGCATGAAGTAGACCACCACGAATCTTAAAACATCGTCGATAAATGTCACGACATATCTTGCTCCCCCTTGAGATGTGACCTCAATTGGACCCTTAACGTCGCCGTGAACGACTTGAAGAAGGGATTTCGTATTAACTTGGCCATATCCCAATTTTGAAAAATGGCTTAAATGTGGACTTTCCAGTCAGACATCCTTCACAGATTTCTTCGTGTTCGACATCATCTTCACAGTGATTCTTGACTTTGGAACCCATTACTTGATCTTCGATGTTTTCAGCGTCTTTGTCGGTAGGTGTCCCAATCGGGCATGCCAGACGCTTGCATCAACTGGTTTGTGTATTCACCAGCTTCTTCACTCATGTTCGCCGTTTCTGTTAGAATACAATCCAACACGAACAGTTTCCCAGTTTGGGAAACCTTTGTCACGATGTCTTGACCAGTCTTGATCGTGAAACTCTTGTTGCCGAAAGTGACTTTGAGTCCTTTCGCTGATAAGGCCGAAATCGAAAGCAATCTTCGGTCCACATCTGGAACGTATAAAACGATCTCGATCCGAATTGGTGCCTTATTCTTCAAAGTCACTCGAATTGTCTCGATCCCGGCTGCCATGATCTTGCTGCCATTTGCAACCGAAATGGCAATTGGCGAGTTGAGTGGTCGTGTTTCCTTTAACTCGTCTTGAAATGGGCACATGTGGCTAGTTGCACCACTGTCCAATATCCAACCTTCTGAATAGTGCTCCAAAACGGTGAGCGCTTGGTATTTATTGGGCCGTCTTTTATTCCAGGATTGAACCAGTAATCGTGTGCACTATGGTTGGTCTTCTTGCAGAATTGACATGATAGTTTTGTCTTTGCCCATCGACCTTTAGGTCGGGCTCCCTTGTTTTTGAACTCACACTCGCGCGTGGCCTTCAGAGCAATTTAGTTGCTCTCTTTCGAGTAATGCTGTCGTATTTGCGACGAAGCATCTCCTCCGCTCAAAACAAGTTCTTATTTCCCATGTTCTCAATAATCTTGATCATTTGGTTGTAGTCGTCTGGCTAAGTTACGAGGAGGATTACGAGTTACTCGTCGTACGACACTTCTTCGCCGACTGCAATCATCGATATGCAGAGTTCGTCGAAGGTCATAAAGTGGTCCATTATGTTCTCACCCTTCGACATCTTGAACTTGTGAAGCTTCCTGCGCATTTGTACCCGGTTATGGATATTGCGCCTCAAGAAGAAGCTCTTGAGCAATTCCCACGCTTGGGCAGTCGACCGTGCATTACGCATCAACGACTGTAGGTTGATACTGATCGTCGTTGTGATCATTGCGAAGGCCTTCATGTCGTTGACCTTCCATTCTAGCGCTTGAGCGCTATCGTCACTCGGTGCCTTCGTTGTGTCGGTATGAGTAAAGAGACCCTTCTTCGCAAGCTTCATTCAAGCGTTGAGCTCCCACACGAAGTCATTATCTTCGCGGAGTAGGTCGCCTGCCTCGTTGGTACTTGTGTTCATAACCTCTTGATATAATGTTGAGGAGACTGTTGGTTAAGTCAGAAAAAAGGATAAGTGATTGATTAAAGTGCATCCTTCATATGCAGTCTAATCCGATGGTTCCTAGCCTACTGT